GAAGGGCTAGGAGCTTTGTACATCAGTTTCCCTTTCTTCCGTCCACTTCCACACACACCTCTTCAGCAGATAAGGAAAGCAAGCCTCAGAGAGGCAAAGGCACACATTGATGGCCACACAGCAACAGAACCGGTAAGTCCAGTCTGACTTCAGAGCCTGCCCCATTCCTTTTATGGCGTAGGATCATGACAGGTCCAGGGTAGCTGGAGGTAGCACAGATCCTAACTGTGGAGGAATCCTTTCTCTTCCACCACAGCTTGCCCATACACTGACTATTTGATTGTTTTTCTCCAAAACATATGACTATTTCTTTTTTTCTAACCAACCTCTTTTCCACCTTACCAATTTGAGTTCTCCATTCCCTTTGGTGGTGACTAGCCTGGGTGTGGGCCTGTGCCCTAAGGAGAGCCAATCAGACAGCTCCGGGGGTGGCTGACCGCACTGACAGGTGGACAGGACCTGTCAATACAGAGAGAAGCAGCACCAGGGATGGAAAGAGAGGACCGGTCCTGTTGGAACGTTTCAGATGCCGGCATCAGGCCACACCTGGTGTCAGTCCTCCAGTCCCCAGAACCTGTGCAAGTTGTTTAAGGCTTTTACTCATCTGAGTTAGAGCTGTATCCTTATTCCCAGTGGCAGCAGTTAATGTCCACCTAATCAGCACCATAAAGGCACTTCTGCATTGCCGGATACCTCAGAAAGGGAGGCCGAGAGGCGAAGGTAAATAAGCTAAGAGGCAGCCAGCCCTCTGTGATGTGGAGGGAGACACCCTGGTTTTATTTGGTATCCGGAAGGCTACAGGTAGATTACCTGGAGTTTTCAGCTTGTTTTCAAACATGGACACAAACTGCTCTCTCCTGCCGAAGGATGCTGGAGTTCAGCTCACTGGCAATCCCCAGAAAGTACCTTCCCCAACAGCAGTCCCCAAGGGAAGGGAGAAAGGGTCAGCTCACAGAGCGGAATGCTCCCAGTGGCGGACCGCTGACAGCACACCAAGACCCGGCCTCATCCTGTGGAATCTTCCCGTGCACCTCGGAGATGAGTGCTGCATGCACTCTATCATCGTTTTTTGTAGACAAGAAAAGCTGGGCTCAGAGACGGGCAGACTTCTCCAAGTTCACACACAGCCTTCCAAGAGAGGGGCCGGAGCCCTGCCTTCCCGCCTTCCCCTAACTCGGTGCTATGGCTTGAGTTGGCTGGTCCCCACCAACACTGGTGCTGGCCCTTAGCTCCTGTGCAGTCAATGCCCAGCACTCTTCATCCTGAGAAATGGAAAGCCCGTACCCATTAAAAGATACCTCCTCATCCCCCAGCTCCTGACACCCACCATTCCTTCTTTCTGAAATCATACAGTACTTATGTTTTTGTGACTAACCTACTTCGCTTAGTATAGTGTCCTCACACATGTTCATGCATGTTGGAGCCTATGTCGGAATTCCCTTCCTTTTCAGGGCTCATGATATTCCCCTTTGTTGGAATAGCACTTTTTTCCATTCTTTTGTTGATGGTCACTGGTTGTTTCTACATTTTGACTGTTGTGAACAACGCTATCATGAACATGGTTATATAAACATCTGTTCAAGCCCCTGCTTTTAGTTCTTTGGGGATATAAACCCAGAAGCAGGGGTCACTGGATCATACGGTAATTGTATAATTGTTTGAGGAATTGCCACAGCGTTTTCCATAGCACCATTCTTCATCCCACCAGGCGTACACAAGGTTCCAGCTTCCCCGAATCCTGCCAACACTGCTTGTTTCCTAAGGGAGGGAGGCCTGTTTTGTTTTGGCTTTGGTGTGTCTGATCCTAGCCACTCAACGGAGTGAATAGAAGTAATCTGAGCTCAAAGTCAGGGGACCTTTTAGGGCACCTGCCTCAAACATCACAGGCATTAACAGCCCTCACCTGGGAGCCCTGAAGTTCCAGATTCCTCTGCCTCTGCCACCTCAGCCCACCCAGCTGCCCCTGCGTTGGTGGCCAGGCTTCTGTCCCTTCTCCCACCTCCTCTCTAGTCTGCACTGCAGCCTCTGCCACGGCCCAGCCTGGTGGTGGTAGACTGCCCCAAAGCCACTGGAGAAAGAAAAGTGGGCAGCCGGGCTCATCCTCAGCGAAGAGGGACCCATGGGGTGTCCGTCTTGTCTGCTTGTCCATTCCCACTGCCTCGGCCCTCCTGGGGGCTGCCTCCTCTCAGGTCATCACCTCCTTGTTCCCCTGTGAACCGTATAAGCATCACGGCTCCCTCAGTCCTAGTTGGAGGAATGTTCTGGGGTCCACAGCCCTTGGCTCTGCCTTGTCTCAGCTAGCAGGCCATCCAGGGACCCCTCTGTGCTCTCTGCCTTGGAATATCTTCAGAAGCCCCAGGGATGCTTGTTACGAACAAAGACTACCTGGGCACTAGCTGGGTGTGGTAGCTGAGCAGAATTGGAAGTTCAAGGCCAATCTGGGCAATGTAGCATGACCTTGTCTCAAAAAGCAAAACACTCAGAGTGGCCTGGTCCTACCTCAGTCCTTCTCTTTCAGACTGACAACAGACAGACAGACAGATAGACAGACACAGAAATGCCTCAGGAGATGCTAATAATCAGCAAGTCTGACCAGGTTTCCATGGTTAGAGAAACTGGTCACTGTCAGGAGGTCCCAAGGCTACCGTCGCTCCAAAATGCTCCCTCTTAGGGGGCTGAGTGTCCTGCCAGGATGAGAAGAGAGTTGTTTTCTGGCCCCTAGCCACGTTGGCTCTTGTCCCATGACAGCTGGTTAGGAAGATGCTGGAGAACCCTGCTGAGGTGACAGGCTTTCGTGCTGGGCACAAATTGGTGGCCAAGGCGCCCTGGTGGATGGACATGAAGCCCAGCCCACACCATCACCACCACCGCTGTGCCTCCGGCTGCCTTTGAAGCTGCCCACGAGGAGCTGCAGCTCCTTCGGCATCTGCATATGGGAGGAGCTGTCAACACATCCAGCTTTGTCTAAAGGCATCAACGCCTGGCCCCACCACCCCATCCCAACTGTTACCCAGCCCTCCTAATCCTTTCCCCGAACCTCCACCAACGGCCCCTCAGGATTCCGCGCTACACCAGGCAACGCAGTGCCAGGGCAGGGGCCGGGACAGCTGCAGACCTAGGCTTAAATCCTAGGGAAGTGTTTGCTCCCCTGTAAGGCAGTGTGATGGTTAACCAGTCGGGTCAGCTTGAGTAAGAAAGGCCCAACTAAACTGGATCAGCATAGCTCTCAGTGTGGCCAAGGGCATTTTCTGAGGACGGAAATCTACCCTCAGGAGGACTGTCGCCTGAGCGGTATAAAGGAGAAAGGAAGAAGGAGGCTCGCTTCTGTTTCTTTGGAGGAGCTGCAGTCCTCCGCTTTACCTTGGATGTCGTCTCCTAGCCAGTGGACTCTTCAGCCTCCAGCACAGATCCTTCAGCCTTCCGTGGCAGACGTTTGGCCTCCTGGGACAGACTCCCACATGGCACCACCCTGAGCTCCAGGCCTTGGACTGGATCCTTCAGATCTCCAAGGCACAGACAGCCCTTTTCTGCACCTTCCACACCTGACTCTGGGTGGCCACTGCAAGCCAATCTTGTAAATTCTTCTATAGTGTACATCTTGCATTAACTCTCTCTCTAGTAAGCCCTGACTGACACAAGCCGCAAGCAGACACTGAGCTGAGCCTCAGAAGTGAGGAAAGATGAGGCGCAGTGTGTGAGTCCCACCTCCGCCCCTCTGCAGCACATCAGTTCACCCCTCTGCCCCCGTCACCTCCTCCGTAAAGGGGAAATGTGTTGGTTTCTTACGGCTGCTGCAACCGTGGCTTAAAGCAACTTCAGTGTATCATACAGTTCTGGAGGTCAAAAGTCCAAAATCCGTCTCAAATCAAGCTGGAAAATCCAGCAGAAAGCAAAGCGTCAGCAGGGCTGTGCGACACCTAGAGGTTCTAAGGGGAAATCCATTTCCTCTGCATTTGCAGCTCGTTGAAGCCCCTTCCATCTTCAGAGCCAGCAGATAGGCCTTTGGGGGCAGAAGCGGACAACTCTGGCCGAGACCAAGGCTGTGTCTAGAGCTCATGATCCTGTGACCTTGGCCTTCTGCCCTGACTCCACGCACAGGCGGTGACCCCACTCCTTGGCTCAGCTCCTTCACGGTCCTGCGACTCAGGCTTAACCCTAAGAGCACTGCAGCTCCCAGCCACCCCCAGCAATGGTTTGAAGGGTATGGGTAGGTTTGGGTCACAGCTAGCGACCATCACCCCAGGGGCTTCGCAGGAGCTATAGAGAGCCCTCCTTGCCCTGGGTGGTAAGCTGGGAGGATAAGCTGGAGCGTCTGGGTCCAGCAATTTGGTCTGACATGGTTTTTTTTGTTTGTTTGTTGCCACAGATAGCTGGAGGCCAGGGATGCATGGATGTAAGCCACTTCCCGGGTGCCCTGAAAAGTTAGACTCCTAAGGGTTGGACCCCACTGCTGTTTTAACAGTTGAAAGTGACCTGATTTATTCCTCTGAGCCTCCGTGTCATCATGTGCAAAAGGAGTGTCATCAGTCATGCCTCCTGGGGCTGCTGCGGGGACTGGATGAACCCACAGCAGTGACCAGCAAAGGGCTTGGAGGCCGCAGGTGTTCGGTGTCTCCTCTGACCCCAGCTGAACACCCAGGGGGCAGCTCAGAGCAGCACCCCTGAGCTTTGTCCCACCCTGAGGTCTCTCTCTCTCTCTCTCTCTCTCTCTCTCTCTCTCTCTCACACACACACACACACACACACACACACACACACACACCTCTGAGCCTCTACTTTTGAGTTAGTAAATGGTATCCACAGTCTACACCTGAGATGTCTGTCAAGTTCTGGTGCTGAGGACAGTAAGTGGAGGTCATGCTAATTTTACTGATAATAACACTGCCCCGATCCCAGCCCCCACTCTGACGGGAACCTCGTATTAGAACACCTGGCTTTGGTGGTGTGACTGGTGTCCTTTTCCCGTGCCCCCCTTTCCACCTCACCACAAGCCACGGAGCCGCTGTTCAGCCTTTATTGACAGAAGACATTTAGTCATCCAATTCTACACCTACAGGGTCTTGGTGCTCCCTGAACATGGGTTCTTCATTAATAACAATTGAAACAACTTGTGGGGCTCGTCGCACACAATGTAGCGGAGCAACGCTAGTCAGACAGATGCGCTGGGCTCTGTCTAGAGATTGTGACGCTCGGCAGAAGGTTCCAGAACTGGGAAGGACTTAACAATGGGCCTTTGAGCCATGGCTTATTGCCAACCTCACAGAGAGGTCACCTGGCTGGGCTGGTGACTCGTCAGAGCATCCCGGCTCTAGGTTTGGGCATCCCAGACGCAGAAGCCAAACATCAGGTGGCAGAGAGAGGAGGCTGGTGCCCTTGCTGCTGGAATGGCAGCTTCTGCCTCCAATGGGAAAGCTGTCCCCAGCCGCTCACCACTGTCGCCGCTAACCAACTGCCCCCGCGAACTGCCAGTTGGAAAATCAGTCATTGGCAAAGAAAGGGAGAAGAATCATAAAAAGGGCAGAGGGCAAAGAAATAGGCAAACAAGTGCTAATAAATGTTCTGCACCATGTGGGCCAGCTTCACGTGGCCCCCAGCCTGCTGACTTTCCTCCCCAGTGTTTAGGGGTGTCTTGAGCCCCAGTACCAAAAGAGCCCTGCCCCATTTCTCCCATTCTCAGCCCCACTGGCTGTTAGGAAGTCCCCAAGCCCCAGATCATGGCAATTTCCTTCTCAGGAGCCCATAGGAAGTAATCTGAATCATGACTAGACAGTTAGAAAAATATCTGGTCTCTAGTATTAAAAATAGAACGTTTCACAGTTATCCAAAGTGCTTACTTGTTCTAAAAAGACGCCCAAGGCTGCCGAGCAGTGGTAAGCTAGGGAGAGATGGGATTCACTGATAATTTAGGACTTAGGATAGCTGGGACATGTGGAAGAATGGAGAAGTCTCATACTCCGGCTGGGTTCACAGGGTGACAAAATGCGTCACAATAAATATAAATAAATTTACACATGGTCTCCGTGCCTGGCACGGCCCAGGAGGCTGCACTATGAGATCCTACCATACTATGGGGGCTGGAGTACGGGGCTGGAGCTGCCCAAGCAGGAATCATTGCAGAGTTCAACCTGTCGGTCCGGGAGACGTCCCACGGGTGGCCAGCCCCTCTCCAGCCTCGGGCCCAACCTCTGACACCGAGGGAGAGGTTTCATCCAGCTCAGCGTGTGCCCCACACCCACCCCACAAAAGTAAGTAAGGGGCCTCCCCTCCCCACTTCCCACTGAGGGTTTACATGATGTGCCCAAGGGCTGCAGCTCACAGAGGGGCCCAGTCTGGAGCAGGCCCGTCCTCAGGAGTAAGCCTGTCCAGGCCTTGCATCTCAGGTCCTGGAGGCAAGGGAAAGACTGAGCTGGACTCTCCTCAGTCCTTCAAGCTTGGGAGGACCCCAGAAACTCCCAGTAGCCCAGAGAGACCACAACCAGGCTGAGAGGACCTGCTTCCTTGACCAGCATGAAGCCTCACCCAAGGTTCAGGTGAGGCCTGTGGGAGGGCAAGGTGCTCTTTCTTCCAGGAACACCCAGGCCAGTCCTTCCTGCCCAGGCCTGCTGCAGGAGGGCCCTGGGGGTAGATGAGGCCATCAGCTCAAAGCAGGGCGATGGGCTTATTCCCCGGGGTGCCCAGGTACTGGGAGGAGGAGGTGGCCCTTGACGAAGCCGCACTGTCCGGGGCGGAGTACGCAGCATACAGCCCAGTCACCTGTACATCTGGGAAAGACTGCTCACTGCTGCCAGAGACGGCGGTCAGGCCCGAGGCCCCCAGATCACAGCCAAGAGGGGAGTCTCCAAAGGTCCCCAGCGTGTCCAGGCCAAAGCCCTCATCCTTCATCTCTTCCCAGAGGTTCCCTTGCAAAGACAAAAGCACTCAGGTGAGCTGGCTTCAGGTAAAACGGACCTGAGATTGAATCCCTGTCTTAGGGAAGAGTCACAGACCACGCACGGTGTTGAAGGTCATATGTTATGGATAAAGCATGTGGAGGAACCAGAGTTCCAGCCCCAGCCTGCCTCTTCCTGCTGTGGGCCCTTGGGAAAGTCACTTCTGTCTCTGAGCCTCAGCATAAAATGCAGATGATCAGAAGACCTACCTCTGAGGGTGGTTATAAGGGTTTAACAAGAGAGTATGTTAAAAGCACTTAGTTCTCATTGCGTGGTATCTCACAGTCAAAGCCAGGAGAACAAAACCATGTTTCCTCTGCAGCACGTTTACACAGCAATCCAGCAGAGAGAGGGGCAGGAAGGATCCCAGCTGTAACTGACTGACTAACTAACCTGCTAACTTGTCCGCTATCCTCATTAGAGGTGGAGCTGCTAGATGCGGCTTTGGCCTTGGTTGGAATACAGCGGGAGAACGCGTGTAAGCTGCAAGCGAATGGGCAAACTTCGAGCCTTCACTGAAACCTGAGACCTCGCCTGTTCTTTCACTTTGTTCACTCATTCATTCATTCACATCCTGTTCGTTATTTATTCATTTGCCAGTACTAGGAATTGAACCCTAGTCCTTCACACTGAGCTACTTCCCATCCCTGTTTTATTTTTTATTTTGAGACAGGGTCTCACTAAGTTGCCCAGGCGGGTCTTGAACTTGCAGCCCTCCTATCTCAGCCTTCCAGAGGGTCACATCTTAGTTACTGAAAATGACCATGTGGCAAGCTCTGGGTCACGTGTGACCTGACCTAAGGTTGGCATATGCATGCTGAAGCAGTTACTGATGAAAAATTCAGAGCCAGACAGACCTGGGTTGAAATCCCAGCTCCATACTGACTGGCCAGGTCACCTCGGGCCAAGGACACTTCCTGTTGCTTCAGTGTCTCAACTGACAGGATGAGGACATCAAATGGCAGTGGCCACTGAGGACACGGCAGGCTGGGATGAGATGATGCTGAGGAAGGCTTCCCTGGGGCCCAGTATACAGGAAGCGCTTATTAGTTGCTCAATGTGCTAGTATTTTTGTGGCTCTGAGGCCTGGATGAGACAGTCCTGTGCTCCCCTGTCTCCTTGGTCCCTCCCCACCCAGCTCCCACCACCGCACTCCTCCAGCCTTACCCTGCAGAGCAAAGTCCATGATGCTGGGGTCCAGGGCATCCACCTCGGTGCTCATGTCGGTGCTGATGTTGATGAAGTCCATGGGGGCCCTGCCCAGGGCGGGCTGGGAGATGGGGCTGCAGCTCACGTCTGGCAGGGCGTGAAGAGGCGGGGTCTGGGCTGGCGCTGGGGAGTCTGGGGTTAGATGTGCCTGGGGCTGGACCTGGTGGTGCAGGGGGACGGACTGCAGGGACAGAGTCATCAGTGCCTGTGGTGGGAGCTGGGAGACGGCCAGGCAGCTGTGGGCCACGGCCACTGAGGTGGCGTGGGTCAGCACAGGGGTCTCGGGCTCCCCTGCTTTGCCAGGGCGCCGGCAGCTTTCTGGCCGATCAGAGATCAGCTTGTCCAACTCCTCTGCAAGCAAATGGGAGAGGTCACTAAGAATACCTTGCAGTGACTAGATCCCAGCCTAGGCCTGGGTTCAAGTCCCGGCACTACCACCCGTGTGACTTCAGCTGCCTCTGGGGCTCTCTGAACCTCTATCTCCTCATCTGTGAAATGGCATCATACCCGGCACATAGTGACATCAGGAAGGGTGTGGAGCCTTTGATTAATGACAGGCCCCGGCAAACAACACGAACGCTTCCTTTGGTCGGTGCCGTATAGCACAGGCCTGTTACCTTAGCACTCCCTTGACCCCAGATGAGCCCAGCAAGAGAGAGCTGAGGCAGGGATTCCGGATCCCACAAGACTGGGACAAGACTTTTAACGTACAAAGGAAGCTAGCCACTCCCTGCTACAAACCGCAGATTAAGAAGTGTTGCTAAGGGTTAGAAACTATATGCTTCCTCAGGCACAGTGACATGTGGCTACAATCCCAGCGAGCCAGGAGGTTGGGATGGCAGGATCACAAGTTCAAGGACAACCCAGGCAGCTTAGCAAGACTTTGTCTCAAAAAAAAAAAGAGGGACCAGGGGGATATGAACGCTTTCCTGATGTGTGCAATACCTGGGTTTGACCCCTAGCACTGAAAACAAAACCAGACAAACAAACCCTGTACCCTGTTTAATACTCCTGGATAGAAACAAGTGAAAGAGAAATGATGGCTGGCACCAAGTTCTTGGCTATGTCTCACTGAACGAAACACCACGCCAAGGCTGGACCATCAGGGTCCTAAGATCTATTTGAGTAGCGCACACTTTAGAAATGAGGACACCTGGAACCTAGAAGGTGGAATGATCTACCCAAGATCCCACACTATGCATAGGTCAGAACCAGCCCTGGCCCTCAAGCCAGGTCCCAGAGCTGTATCGGGTGGATACCATGTGCTGCCCTCAGCCAGGACCTGCTGGTTCCTGCTGCAGCCTGTCTCCCCACCTTCTTAACGGGTTCCAGCACCTTCACACCAAACCTCAGACAACAGCATCCCCAGGGCCAGACCACTAGCTCCTGGGACTGGCCAGAGGTAGCCTACCTGTATAGTTCCCCTTGTATGGACCCTCTTCACACACTTAATTAAAAAAAATTCAAATGCAATCTTCAAAAGTAATTCATGAACAGTGTAAAAGCTGTAGCAAATACGGAAGTACGTGATGAATATATGAATTATCAGAAATCCAGACATAGTGGCATAAACCTATAATCCAAACACTTGGGAGGATGAGGCAGGAAGACCATGAGTTCAAGGCCATCTAAAACAATTTAGCAAGCTCAAAGCCAGAAATACATAAATGAATAATAAAATAAAAATTATCAGTGGTTTCTCCTCACAGAAAAAGCTTTTGTTGTATTTCTTCCCAGATGAACATTCATATTCTTTCTCTAAATTGTGTATTTTGGGTAAAAATGGGTCTGGGATATGTAAAACATGTGTGTGTGTGTATAGGCTTTTTGAGACAGGGTCTAACTGTAGCCTAGGCTGGCTTCAAATCACTATGTAGTGAAGGTTGGCCTCAAACTAACAATCCTCTTGCCTCAGCCTCCTGAGTCCTGGGATTACAGGCATGTGCCATCACAACCGCCTTACATATCCATTTTAAAATATGGTCCTGCTGTGTACGGTATAATGATTAATATTCTGCCCATTTTACTTATTGTATTGATATTTCTTTGTATTACAAAAATATTTTAAAATGTTTATCTTTAATATGTGCATGATATGGCACTATCTTTAACTGTAGAATGCTTAGATGGCTTTCAGTTGTTTATTGGACAACCAAAAGTGAGCGTGGATAACTCAGTTCATACTTTTTTTTCCTCAAATCTTTGATGTCCTCATCACAAGCTGTCAGAAGAGAAATAAGAGGACTAATGCACGGGGACAGCTTGCAGGAGGGTTATTTGTACTGGGGATTGAACCCAATGTTGCTCTGCCACTGAGCTATACCCCTCGCCCCTTTGATTTTTTATTTTGAGACAGGGTCTGGCTAAGTTCCCCCAGGCTGGTCTCGAACTTGCAATTCTCCCAAAAAGCTGGAATTACAGACCTGCACTGCCAAGCCTGGCCATTTTGCCAGTTTTTGACACATTATTTTGCCCACAAAAAAGCTTCACAACTTACATCCCCACCCACTGCATAGGAAGACACCTATCTCCTACACCCCAGCCCACACTGGGTGTTAATTTCAAATGCTCTTCTATCCCCTGATTGTGCGGCATGGCATTTCTGCGCAAACAACTGGACGTGATGGTGAGCTGACAGCTTTTTATATCCCAGGCTCCACAATTTGCCAGCCATGGGGGAAGGGTAGGTAAGGCACCCTGCACACCTGCTTCCCATCAACGTGTCTGAGGCATGCACGTGCCTGGCAGCGGGGGTGATGGACGCATGCGCACCTGTGCACATGCGCACAGGGCCATGCATGTGCGCATGCGTGGTGGGATTACCCAGGCCTCACCTGGATTGGCCATGCTCCGGTGAATGGCGGCCAGGTCCTTCCTCTTCCACTTGTGCATTTCCTCCTCCATCTTGTCAATGCGGGCCAGGTTCAGGGCCCAGAGGCAGCCCTTTCGTGAGGAGCCACTCATCTTGTTCTCCACTTTCTCAAAGCACTTGTTCAGGGACAGGTTGTGCCGCACAGAGTTCTTCCAACCGTCGGGAGCCGTCTGTGGGGAGACGCAGCGCTCATAACCCCTTCGGAGACCACCCGGTAAAGCCCTTCCTGCCTGGGCGCCCTCAAACTCCCGCCTGGCAAGACAGGACACCGCCATGGCGGGGATGACAGGGCAGCGTCCAGGACTCAGCCTCAAGTTACAGGCAAAAGGGAGGCACACAGGGAGGGCGTGTCAGCTACTCCTGCTGATACTGCATGGACGCCGCCCACGCCCGCTGACTAACTCATCCTGAATCCTCGTCCAGCAGAGAGAAAGGCGTTCATCAGTGAGTAGCTGCTCAAGTGGATTAGATGCAAATTGCTCTTAAGCTCACTTTATTGCTAGGTGACCACATGCTGCAGTATAATCAGACCCTGCATACACACGCGTGATGTTGCACTATTCCTGCTAGGGATACTTTCCAGGCCAGGGAGTCTGCAGCCTGGTACCCTCTGGCCCCTTGCTCTTCTTTTTGCTTTGATGCTGACAAGGACAGCACTACTAATGGTCAAACCGTGTGCCAGCAGCCACTGAGATCTTTATGAGCAGAACCCTCATTAACTTGCCAACCGGCTGTTCTCCCCGCTTTACAGATAAGGATATTGAGGCTCAGAGAGGTGAGGGCTCTTGCCAAGTGTGTGTTTTGCATTATACAGTTTACTAAGTCAATGCTGAGTAAGTGGACTGGCCCCCCTACCCCTTCCCCCCATCCTGAGGTGCATGGTGAACTCCTCTTCATCCATCAGCGCTCAGTTCAAATGCCCTTTTCTCTTTTCAAAAGCCTTTCTGTGCATGCATATGCATGTGTCATTAGTGGTAGATATACAGATATAACTGGGAGCCAGACGCGGCGGGGGGCTCTTTCTCCTACGGCCAGCCCTGTATTCTGGCAGCACCAGGGAAAGAGCAGGGTAGCTCCAGCACCCAAGCATGGGTGGGAATCCTCACCTTGAAGTAGGGGAAGTGCTCCTTCATGAAGCTGTAGATCTCGCTCACAGGCAGGCTGCCTGTCTTGCTATTCTTTAGGGCCATGGCAATCAGACAGCTGGGGACAAAAGATGAGGGAGCACAAAGGGATCTCAGGTTGACAGCCTGAGGTTGCCTCTCCCAGGAAGCCTGCCCTGCTTGCCCCCACGTGTACAAGCTCTCCCGTCACACGGTGTACACGCTCAACACCTTTCCAGGGCCGTCTTTCCCACCCCCTGCCCTTCTCCTGATGCTGGCCTCACTTCTTTTTTTTTCCCTCTTTTTATCCTATACCCATAATTAATGTCTAGGGCCTTTAGACTTTACCTAGGCTGCTCCCCTTTCCCCAAACACTGGAGATTCACAGGACTATTACTTTGGTGACTTTTTGCATTTGAGGAAACTGAAGCTCAAACAGGCCAAGGAATGGCCCTGAGGACACACAGCTTTTGCATAATGAAGCATCAGTATCTGAAGTAGGTTCTTGACCCCCAATGGGTAGACTGCCCCCTGGCGGTCCTTTGTGAGACTAGTCCCACCTGGGGATTCTCCACTGCCCCAAACCTCCCCCATGGAAGTCTGGGTCACCTCTCCCGCTTGTCTGACTGCTCTGGGTGCAGCCCTTTCCGCTTTGTGCTCCTCCTCCCTGAGCCCCTTGAACCTCACCTGTAGGAGTAGATGGGTTTGGGGTAGTGTTTGGGATGCGGTTCCTGGGATGAATGCACTGCCATGTGGGCCTGGGCATAGGGAGGCCGCGCCCCAAACGAAGAGCTGTAGAGGCCCATAGAAGGACACTTCCGCAGGCAGTAGAGGGAAAAGGTGAGAAAGCACAGATCAATCACAGTCCCCCCCATCCCCAGTCTCTGAAGCTCCCTCCTCTCTATAAGGTGTGGCGCAGGCGTTTACAGCCACAGAAAGCACTCTTGTCTCTGCCCAGGACAGGAATTGCAGGGAAATTGAATGGATGATTTCACGACACGGCATCGTGGAAATTTTATCCCCCATGTGTCTGGACAGTAAATAGCCTCAAAGAGATCCCCAGCTGGCCCAAGACCGGTATCTGCCCCGGTGTCCAGGGCTTCTCTGAACCGTCGTACCTGCGGGACCCCAGGAGGCAGTGGGAACTGTGCTTGGATGGTAGCGGGGTAGAGCTGTGATGCATCCTGCAGGCTGGATGACGGCTGGCCCCTGGCTGGGTACTGGCTCACCTGCTGGGGCCAGGAGAGGAAGGAATAGAGGGTCAGGGTGGCAGCAAGCATCCCAGCCCAGGGGAACACCCCCTCGCGCCCCAGCCCATGTAATGTCACTCACACTGGCCCCGTGGCTAGTCATGGGGCCCAGACTCAGCATGCCTCGTGGGGCCATGCCAGCTGGGCTGTGGAGCAGAGGCCCCGGGGCAGCTGCCACGTGCAGGCCAGCTGTCCCATCCAGGGCACCTGCAGGAGAGAACACAGAGAAGCCGTGGGGCTGCGTGGATGGCGGCTAGGACTGGGGACTACAGCCACTCCCCACCCTTAGGACCAGGCACAGGGTGGACACTTGGCAAGTCACTCTGTGGAGGTGCAGTGGTAGAAAGTGGCGTTCCTACCAGCTGTGTGAGCGTGAGGCACCCTCAGTTTCCCCCTTTTATTTGTGCTCCTAGTATTGCTCATTACATTGTTGGGAGGGTTAAATGAGATCATCTATCAAGTATTAATAAATACCACCTTATTGAACCCATGATAAAATCCCAGTAAATATGAGTCCATCATAAGTGCTGAGGAGGTGGAGGATGTAGGTAATATTAGAGTCCTGTCATTCATTCTCTAAAGCACCACCTCATGGTTCATATTATCTCCTCAGAAATATTCCCTAGCTCCCCAGTGCTTCTACATTAAGGTCCAAATACTTTTATGCCTCCCCTCCCCTTTACCAAGCCCTCTGCCAAGAATTAGCTCAGGAATAGCAGATGTGAACCCTGCCCCCTATGCTGGGCCTGTGACAGACATTGCTGTTCTATCCCAGATTCTCACTGTACCAGTCTGACTGTAGGCAGCCACCTCTAATCAGGCAACATTCATCTGCTGAGCTGCAGTGGCAAAGGAGGGGTCTGCCTTATTTTACCCTCTTTGAATATCTACTGTGTTGTGTCCGTGCAGATGAAGAAATAGATCACAGAAGAAAGCTCTTGCCCAAGATCACACCGCTCTCCCCTGGGATTCTAGATTAAGGTTAGGAAACTGACCAGCAGGCCAAATTTGGCCCATTGCCTGGTTTGTAAATAAAGTTTTATTGGCATACAGCCACACCTACTCATTTACATGTTTCTCTGGCTTGCTTTGTGCCGAAACAGGAGAGCTGAATAGTTTTGACAGACTGACCTACAAAGACGAAACTACGTGTTTCCTGGCCCTTTGCAGAAAAGGTTTGCTAACTGAACCTTGCTTTATACATTTTGCTGAAGAACATTTTTCCCAGTGAAAGAAATACTTCTACACTCTGATATTTCAACACCTGGCACTTATAACGTGCTGTGGTGATTGTATTTTTTGTCATTATTTTGTTTTTCTTCAACATCTTGCTGTGATTGCAACTAGCTGCCATGTACCACCTGTTGTGCTCCACGATTTTTAGTCCTCTAGCAAAAGGAGCAATGAACTTTATTTTTTGATAAATTTTTTTTTCTGGTCCTAGGGATTGAACCTGGGGCCTTTACTCTGAGCTACATCCTCAGCCCATTTTTTTGTTTGTTTGTTTGTGGTTTTTTTTTTTCTGAGACACAGTCTTGCTAAGCTGCTATACTGCCCAGAACAGACTCCTATTTATAATCCTCCAGCCTCAGCCTCCCAAAGTGCAGGGCTTACTGTCATGCACTATCACACCTGGTTTAAAAAACATTCTTAGCTCATGCAAAACAGGCCACGCCTGCATTTGGCTTGGGCCACAGTTTTCTGGTTACTATCCTTGTTGCTGAGTGAATCCCTCCGTGGAAGGTCAATTTAGTCCCATTTTACAGATGTGGAAATAGAGCTCCAGAGAGACAGAGGGACCTATTCAGAGCCAAACATCAGGGAAGAGGCAGAGCTAGGAATCACCCCTCCCTCCTCCACCCTTCCCCTGCCCCACCTTCAACGCCTACCTGGGTGTGCATGTGGCACACCACGGCTTCTAGGGTTCATGCGGCCACTTGCCATCTGCTGCAGCCGAGGCACATCCACCGCTGTGAGCCAGGACAGCGACTGCAGGTCCCCAGGGAGGTCATCGTCACTCGAGGAAGGCAGGAGCCTGCGGGGAGGAGCCGGGAGCTCGGGCGGGAGGGAGAGCTTTGGGCAGTTCCTTGGGACCCCCTGGATTTCTGGAAGCATTCCCTAACCCTGACTCACCACCCCAAGCCTCTCTGGCCCTCCAACCTGCCCTTCTCAGGCCTGGGTGTGGGCACCCGGTCCCCGAGTCCCCCTTCAGCAGCAGATGGCACACCCTCAAATCATTCCTCCATTCACCCACATCCTACTTAGCACCTACTGCCACAGCGATAAACACTGACGTTCCTGAGCACTTACTACAGTACTGCTGGGGCACTGGCCATGTCCTTTACATATGGACCCGTTCCACACTCCCAAGCACCCTAGGAGGCAGGCGTTATATTATTATGACACAGTAATTATAGAATGAGCATCCCTAATCCAAAATTCTGAGATCTACAGTGCTCCAAAATGCAAACCTTTTCATTCCACCGTGAGCTTACATAACGGGTCATAATCAACATGCAGGCACACAAAAAGTCTAGTGTCAACTCACCTTTCAGGTATGTGCGTAGAGTATAAATGAAATGTAAATGAACTTTGTGTTTAGACCCGGGTCCCATCCCCAAGACATCTCATTATGTAAGTGCAAATATTGCAAGATCCGAACACAGTCTGTTACCTGAAATTCTTCTGATCCCAAATATATTGGATAAGGGAACCTCACCCTACTCCCATTTTCCAGGGGGGAAGACAAGCACTATAAGACATCCTGGGGACCCCATGGCACAGAGCAGTCTGGGGCTGTAAACAGGGTCCTTCCCAGCTGCCCTGTCAGAATTGGGTCCACGACAGCACCCAGGTTGCCCACCTCCAGGTCCAGGGTGTTTCCCAACCATGCTGTAGCCTGTGTGGGTGGCATGGAACATGGTGACAGACACGCACCATGGAGAGGCAGTTGAGAGCCAGCTCAGCAGTTCAGTCCTGTACAATTCTGCAGTCACCCTGAGACCTGCAATCTGTCCCTATCCCCCTTTTACAGATGGGAAACTGAGGCCTGGCACACTGAGGCACTTGCTCTGGGCCACACATATAGGAAGTGGTGGGGCCAGAACCAGACAGTACAGCCTGAGGTAAGAGCTCTCCCCAGGTCGGACCCGTGCCCACCACCTCAACAGGTGCATGAACAAGAACATTGCTATCCATGGAAGGAAAAAGACCGCCATTGTGGGAACCATACAGTTACCCAATTTGGGCTATCCTGGTGCCCCTGAAGTGCTGTGTGCCTCGGCTTGGACAGCACCAGGCCTCACAGTGGCATCTGGTCTGGGCTGTCACGCAGCCTCAAACTGGCCCAAGGGCCCTCGCCAGTACCACTGAATGTGCCACCCCCGCAGCTGGGCAGCATTGTTGTAAAAGGTCCACAGTGCAACTTCCAATCTCCCAAAGCAGGTATGTTAGGGCTTCATAGAGAGCGAGGGCAGGAGAGAGGGAGGGAGAGAACAGGGCATCCAAGTGCGGCGTCTGCTTTGCTTGTGCACCCGAAAGCTGGTGCAGGGGGCTGTGGCCCTGTCCTCCACCTCTTGGCTGCCTTCAGCTCCTGCTCTCTCCCCTCCCCTCCTCCCACTTCTCCACTCCTCTCTTCTCCTCTCTCTCTCTCCCTCTCCCTCCCCTTCCCTCCTTCCCCCCTTGTGTTTTAGGGCCACAATTAGCGTTGCTATGGCCACCACTGCTCAGTTGTCACAGGGCCCATGGCCCACGCAGCTGGCATCAGGTGACTGTCCGGCGATCTCTGCCATTGGCTGCCTCATAGGAAAACACAGCCCGAAGATGATTTGAAAACACGGCTGGCCCATGTCATGTCGTGGCAGCGGTTGGCCCGGCTGCTGTCCCCCGGAGGCCCATTGTATGACGAACGACTGTTGCCCCAGCGGCACGTGGCCCCATTGTCCTAAAGCCCCCGTGCTATTGTTTCCATGCACCCCACCTACCACCCCTTCCGCCTAATCGTAACTCATCTGGCTGAGTGACAGCCGCAGGCCTGGATGATGCCATCTGTCCCTTAGGCCCTCAGAGACGGCAGGGGGCGGGTGAGGTGGAGGGGCAGGGCCTGCTGAACCGCCTACTGTTGAAGGTGCCCCCACCGTCCCCTCCTTAATCCGTGGTTGGCCAACCTCCCAGAGTCTGGTGGTACAAGCCCCATTCCCGCTCAATAACCTGCTGTGGCTCCCCATTGCCCCCCCTGCTCTGCTGGATCCTGGAGGAGCGCAGGTGACTCCCTGCTGGCAGCTTTCTCAGGACAGAGATCCTACAAAGCCCCTGAGTGGTTGGAGGAGGCTTGTAAAAAACCAGGCTCTTAGACACCATCGTGCATCCAAATCTCTGGCCGTGGGTGAACTCCATAGGCAGTACCTGTGGGGTTAAGCCCTAGATTCTGTCCTGGTTTCCCGTGAGCCACAGGTTTAATCGCCCTGGGCCTCAGTTTTTCATTTGTAAAATGAGGGAAATAATTGTTCCTATCTCCTAGGTTGTTACGAAAGTTAAGTTTGTTATTACATATGAAGCGCTTTGAACAGCATCTAACAATAATTGTAATGTGAGCATTTATTTAGCTGCTACTAAATCTCCCCCTATTAATGCCTCTGTTAACATTAGCCAGGTATTCCAGGGTCCGGAAGTACATGAAAGCCTCAGACTTGTGGGTTACATAGACCTGCCTCTGCCACCACCGTTTCTATTTATCGAGCACTTCCTGGATGGCAGACCTTGAGTTCTATGCCACCCCCATTTTCCATGTGGGGAAACGGAGGCTCTGGGCTGTCACCAAAACACCGACCCTGTCAGTATGGAGTTAGGATTACCCCGGAAGTGCTTAGCGAGGGCTGAGCCTATGGTGGGGGCTGAGGAACCGGTGCAGCCCTGGTTACCCTTTTATTTCTCTCCTCACTTTTCGGGAGCCCCATTTGGCTCCCCGTTCCTTCGGCCCTGGGCCTCCTGCACCCTCCTGCTCCACACCTGCCTGGCACAGCTATGCACCATTCTCACCTCCAGCTGGGCCTTTGCAGGCCCTGCCAGCCACACCCTCCCGCTCTTCCTTCCCACCTAAACCAGGAGCATCTGTCCCTGGAGGCCGCGTTGCAGATAGGGGAGCCTGGCTGCGGGAAGGGCAGCCAGGTGCCCACAGTTTGATAGCCCAGAAAAAGGTGGGGTAGGGGCCCTGGCCCCACCCAAAAGCAGCCCCTCCTCTGGGCAGCCTGTACCTCCCACACCCCCAGCTCAGTGCCCTCTGCACCCTAACTGCTCCCCACGCTGCACCGCGCATGTGAAACCTATGCCGGCCGGTATCCTGCCCTCCGCCTGCCTGTGGCTCGCTGAGGGTTGGTGCTCAGCCCCTGGTATCCCTGCACGCAGTGGGGGCCCTTCAAATGCCAGAGTGAGTCCGCGTACCCAAGCCTGAGAGTGCCGTGACAATGACTGTCATGTCTGACACTTTTAGAGCTATCCTCCACCTGCTGGGTCTTTGCAAAAGCCCTAGGAAGGATACAGAGAGTAGACACTCCAGCTTTTCAGACGGGGAAACTGAGGCTAGGCAGGTGAAAGCAAAACCTCTTTGCTTGTGAGCAAGGCCACCAGGACTAGAACTCGAGTCTTTCCGCTCCAATCTTGGGTTGTTGATGGGGGACCAGGCAGATAATAGATGTCTTCTGGGGGAGGCGCCCCAGCCTGAGTCCGGGGCTCCATAGTACCAGGGCTGAGCAAACCAGCACCACCACCCGCTGCAGGAGTCGGGAACACAAAGGAAGGCCCTCTCCAACCTGGAGTTCCTTGGGGTCTCCCAGCTCTAACCTGGGGCAGGGACGGCCCGGAGCGGTGTGGCTGGGGCTGTGGCAAAGCCCGGGCTTTTCTGGATCAGATCTAGGTTCAAGTGCTTGTGACGGGGGTGCAGTCACTTCAGGTCCCTGAGCCTCCCGACCTGGGCTGCCGCGAGGCCCAGAGGCGCCAGCGCGCGTTTGACACTCGGCACCAGCAGGTCCTCCTTCTCCCGTCTTGGGGTTGCTGCACTTACTGGGGGTGGGCAGCCAGGACCCAGCTCCTGCACGGCCTCAGGCTTCCCGGCACTGGTCTGCCTCTTCCTCTGCCCCATGCCACATTTGAATGTCTGCGTCCACGTGCCTGCCAGTAGCCAGTCACCCCTGCAGGACTCCCAGGTGGAGCACTGTGGTGGGAGTCCACTGGTCCCAAAGCCTGGCTCCCTGCTCAGTCTCCCTGGCATTCAGGCCCCTTCACTGCGCATTGCAGGGCCCAGGGATTAAATGGGAGTTTCTCGTCCCTGCTGCCTGGCCCGCACACTCCCCTGCACAGAGGCGTGTCAGCATGTTCCCCTCTCCACAGGGCCAGGTAAGGCCCTGGCAGGCCTCTCCCTCCCTCCCAGCACCTGCTGCCCCTTGTTAAGGATGGACCTGTGTGCCTTGCCTTGACTTGCTCCCTCCTAGCGCTTTTCTTTCGTGAGTATGACCTACAGGGTCCCTGACACTGCAACACCAGACAGAACTTAGATTGAGGAAGCACTCTGGGTTGCCAGCAGTCAACCCTCAAAAGGGCACTTAGTTCCCAGCCTTGGTTTTCCCACCTGTAAAATGGGCATGAGTGATGGTGATGATGATGATGATGATGATGATGATGATGATGATGACAGCAATAGCAACAGTACTTTGTAGCCATAGGCCTGGCATGTGGGTGTGAAGGTGAAGTGGCTTCATGATTGGCCAGCCATCTGGGAGGGTAGGAATAGTCTGAGAGAGAGACAGAGAGAGACAGACCCTATCCTATGTCAGCGCATGAGCCCATGGAGTGAGTTTCTCACTGCTGGATAATGACAGGCCATTTGCAATTCAGAGGAACAGGCAAGGATCAGCCCCACTGCCTGGGACCCCCAGGACCTCTCCTGCTCACTCTCTCTGGGTCTGTCTCTTCAGCTACGGGGTGAGGAGAAGACCCAGGCCCCGCTGACCCTTGTCACCCATGTCACTGATCCGGGCCCCA